TCATTTCGCGATTCCGGTTCATCATATATGTTTAAACACGCTTTCCCCTCATTTGGCGATTCCGGTTCATCATATATCTTAAACACGCCGCCTCATCCCGCGATCACGGCTCATCATGTATCTGAAACGCGTCCCTTCATTTGGCTATTCCGGGTCATCATACATCTTAAAAATGCCGCCTCCCATCGGGGGATTTCGGTTCATCATTTCTCTGAAACATGCCTGCGCGCAGAAGCACTGGGAACATCCATGACGTCGCTTTAGGGTTTAGCTTCTATATAGGGGTTGAGGCTTCTTTCTGCGTGCACCAGGTTGACCAGCAGTCATAACTGCCCCGGAGAGGAATGCGAGCCTTTCGGCCAATGCCTCTGCAGTGAGGTGCTTGGCCTGGCCATGGGAGCTTCTCTTACGCATAGGCTCGTGGCTCGCACAGCTCTGTGACAAGGTACCCAGCTTGGCTCACAACTGTTTTTGCTGTCTGTTAGCCGCTATCTTTGTGTGGATCTGTGGTTCATGTTTCTTCCGTGGGGGCATCCGCAGCAGTGCTTCCAAACCTTTAGGGCGGGAAGACTTGCGTCGACGGAGGGACACCCGCCAAGCCCAACCTGCAGTCAAAGGTAAAGGGCGGACACAGAAGCGCCACGAAACCTCATGCTCAGGTTATAATGATGAGTCGCAAGTCTTGGATGCGGTGGTTCGCTTGATTGAGCCGGCTAAGAGTCAAGGCTCAAGTGGCATTCTCGGCCGATTGAGCAGTCTTGTCCAGAATGAGGGCAAGCCCATTTCCAGTGGCAGAGCCGAGAGAAGGCGCAGAGCCAAGGAGCGCAAGCAGGCGCCACCCTAATCGTCTTATGCCCCTTTCAAGGGCAAGGGCAAGCGCTCTAAAGGCGCCAGCAAACAGGGAAAGGGGCTCGGCGAGGTCCAAGGCAAGGGTGGCAATCGCCAGCCGCCAGATGCCACCAGGATGGCAGCCACTTGGGCAATCCATTCCTGCGAGTGAGGCCGAGAAACGGCTACGAGCCCAGAAGCCCTGGCGAGAACAGTGGATCATTGCCGACTCTCACGAGCAAGCCGACACCATAGCGCAGCTTGTTCAGGTGACTGAGTCCAAGGAGAACGTTGGCATTTTATCCCATCCTGTGGGACAGCAGCCGCTAAAGTTGACCTCCCGTCGCCTAGGCAAGCCTAAGGTCAAACAGTGGCAATGGCAGCCAGTGCCTTTGGTGGATGCTGCCGGCAAGCCGGATCCTGCTAACTTCCGGCGTACTTCTATTCCTGCCGCCCGGCTCTCCAAACCAATCCGTGCCTCATTCGTCAAAAGCTTCATGGACACGAGCCTATGGCAACAAGTAGGCCAAGAGCGCACCGAAACGGCCATGAAGTTGTTATACAGTCTAAGATGAACAGAGGCGAGCCTTGGCGTATTTTTTGCGCGTGTAAAGGGATGCGTTTGTTCATGGGCTGTAGTTGTATAGTGCTCCAACAGGGAAAAGGTAGAGTTCGCCATATCCTGTTAACACTTAGCGGCCCAGCGGTATTTGCAATCCCCGCTCGTGTGGAACTGTATGTCCTGGTCTTCCCACAGGGACCGCCCCTGCTATAAGCAAGGGCAAAGAGACACATGTAACGCAGAAAAACAGACAGGAAACCATTCCGTGAGACATTACTCCAAAGCAGATAAAAAGACACAGATAACAACGAGAAACAAAAGAGGAATTGCATTTGTAAAGGTATGTTTTTGTTGGTTTGTTTTGGTATTTTTTGTTTTTTGCCTTTTGGCTTCTCGGCTTCTGGACTTTCCTTCCTGGTTTGCTGTCCTCTCTAGTCGTCCTTGCCTGCTACCAGCTTCATACACAGCTCCTGCGTACCATGTGATGTGTGCTGGCGCCGTGCTTCTTCTGCTCAGACGCACTTGAAACTACAACAATCACAATGCCTGGAGCATTTAAGCAGGTCAGACTTGAGCTTGTATTTAACAAGCGGGTTCTTCTAGATTAGTTTAGGATGCCCCTTGTGTGGTTTAGCTGCAAAGCGATAAAACTACAGGAATACCATGCCAGGGAACAAGTTCTAGCAATGCTACGGGTGCTGCCAGTGTTAGTGGTAGTATTCGTGTTACGGGTAGTCCATACTGGTAATATAGCACGACTTGTCCTGTTCGTACAACTCCTACTCCTACTGCTGCCGGCTTGAGAGGCTGCGTTTGCTTGTGCAAGCGAGGGTTGACAAGTTGCGCCTCCGCAAACTGAAGCATGAAGACTTGCTACATGCAGTCTTTCAAATCCCAGGCAAGTTGATTGTCCAAAAGGATAACAAAACGATAAAACTTTGGTTTGACACAGGTGTCTGTTGAACGACTCAACTCACTAGTGCCCGTGCCAGTACTAGTGGGTTGAGTTGTTGGTAGCCTTTTCTTAAGAGCTATGGACATCCTTGGATACGTAAGCCCGTGATGCAGACGTACATTGGGTTTGCAGATGGGGGGGCGGGTGCGCACTCCCCAACCCCCCCGCTTTCTTTTTGTACCGTGCATAGCTTACCGTCAAGATATGGACCTTGTCAGAACCCATAGTGCGTACGTACATTGGGTTTGCAAATGTTGAGGCGGCAGCCCCACACCCTTCCGGAAGAATTGCGTCAGTCACATAAGTGTAAAGTTTCAACTTTCCAAATCCATCACACAGGCGAAGTGTTGAATTTATTCAAAATCCATGATACAGGCATTCTGTCTGCAAATGGGGGGCCGGGCGCCCCCCGCTTTTTGAAGCCGCGCAAGCGCGTTTCAACATCATCCTGCCAGCAAACAGGTACACGGAGTTCATATGGATCGCCAAAAAGAGGGCGTGTAAGATATATGATGAACCGGAATACCCACATCAAAAATTGCGAAGTGACCCGGCGCCCCTCCGGATGGCCCAGCAAGAATCGGGGTATTTTGTGCAAATTGCATAGAGCTTGCATGAGTCTGCATGAGCAAATAGGCCTGCACATGTACATTCAGGCAGAAGTTGCCACTACAGACGGCATGGAGCTTCTAAATGAGCTATAGTTTGCTTGAAGAAAAGGAAAAAACAAAAATACAGGGAAAACACACAAGATATTTAAATCAATTCTGGACCCACAAAAACACACCAAAAACTAACACTACCTAAAGACACAGATCGGCCCCTTACCTCCTGGGGGCTCCTTGGGCCCCAGGGCTCCCTATCTCCGTCTCTAGTGCCGATGTCAGGGACGGGAGCCGAGATATCGAAAGCAACAGAGGGACCGAGGGCAGGGACCTCTCATCAAGAGATGAAGCGAAGCAATAAGCGAGGTTAATCAATAGTTGAAATACGTGTAGAAAAGGGCCGCAAGCCTTGTCGGACGAGTCAAAACAGCAAAAGGACCAAGACATCAAGTTCCGCATTCCTGCACTGCGTGTCGCTTTCTGCGATCCTTGTAGTCCTCCATCCCGGGACAACCCGTGATGCCAGAGACAAAAGCCCCGAGCTTAGCCAGAGGTGCAGCAGGACACCTGCAAATACATCAAAGCCAACAACGAAGTCAAGGATGGAAAGGGCATGGCGTGTTGATTTCCTTTTGTAAGTGCAAGCACGCGGCGCGGAGGACATTTACATTCGGGAGGCCAGCCATTGTTGGTAATGCTGGTGTTTCCTTTTCTCAGAGCTCGCAGCTGTGGAAAGGTGTTGAGACTGTGGCCATCCGAGACAGACCATCAGGGTGTAGAGGCCACGAAGCCTGCAAGCCTGCGGTATGCACCATCCTTGGCGCATGGAGGTCTGCAAGAAGTGCGCATGGGTGCTTCCCTTGGCCTCAACTAGTACTCTCCCTGAAGGTTCACGCCGTACACTTGCTTGGTAGCTCAGGTGGAGGGCCTCGACGCCACACTCTTTGTGAAGTCCTCGGGAGAGGTTGCAATGGCAGAAAGGAAACCTGTCGAGTCGTCGAAGACATGTCATCGATTGTGCGTTTGCCAGCTGCGTCGTCTGACTAAAATTATAAGCTTCATTCGTGGCTAAAGATCCTTGACACATCAAAGAGGTGTTGCTCTCCTTCGGGTTCAGACCCAGCTTCGCGCACTGTTGCGCGGTAGCACCTGGGTTCAGCCGAAACCTGAATCTGAAGCTGAGACCTCGCGGAACATCCTGGTACAGAGGGTGCCCTACGACGACAGCCACGCCTTGGCGCTCCATGCTTGCATCGCGCGCCGACAAGTGGATGAGAAGGACAAGGCACAGGGGGGGCAGGGTGTTGGGCGGCATCCAAGATCCCAGTGATTCCCAGTGCCTCAGGATCAGAGCCCACCCTATCGGCTCATCACCACGTGGATGCCAAGGTCTCAGCGCTTTTCGGGCAGCACGGTGGTTTTTGTGCCGGTGCTGCCTTATTTTTCTGCAGTTGTCTGAGGTGGGTCCAGTGCCCCCATGCCAGGGCTGAGGCCCAGGCCAGCGCGGCGGAACCGGCCCATGCGGCTGCACAGGCCCAGGGCCGCCCTGGGCCGCCCTCCTCGGCCTTCAACTCTCCCTTTGCCCGGTCCAGGCGGGTCAGGCGGCCTCTCGGTCTCGGACGGGGAACGCCGAGGCCTCGCCCTGGAGCGAGGGCTTATGGCTGTGTCCGGGTTATCCAGGTTTTGGCAAGCGGCACGAGGCCGAGTGATCGCCTACCGACATCCATAAATTATCAACACCCGTAGCTGGGAGGTCGAAGGCAGACAGATGAGCAGATGCTCATGCTTGCTCCTCGCGCGCGCACGCACGCGCGCGCGTAGCGCACGCGCGCACTCCTGTGCGCAGCCTTCAACATTTTACCGCTCCAGCGCTTGGTGCCCTCTGTCCTTCCTGGAGATTTGAAGCGAGAGGTGGTGCAAATCGCAAAGGGAAATGAAGCGAGCGGTGGCGTCAGTCGGACTGGGCCTCGGACTGGACAGGGCACAGCAGATTGCACAGCAGAGCGCTGAGTGCGTCGAGGACCTTGAGCATCCCTTACGAGATCCGTCCGAGCACTTTCAGCGGCGCTCCGTCCCGCGCTGAAGGGCCCGAGAAGCGAGACCTTCAGCACCAGCTGTGGCCTCCAGGCACGGTGCCATTCAAGGCGACGCGAGAGCCATGGGAGCCACAAGTGCGTAAGAAAGCCCAGAAAAGGGGGTGGACAGCGGGGAGTACAGAAGGTGGGGTTGTGAGGAAGCAAGGCGCGGCGGCTTTTTCGGTCGGCTTTTCGCTCAGGTCCAGCACCTACCTCGTCTCGCGGCCGAGTACGGCAGGGAGCTTGCGGGGAGCCCGGCCGTGAGGTGAGTGCTTTTTGTCACAGCAAATAACCGGCGCCGGGTTCCCAGGTCCCGGCCGTGGACGCCTCAGAGCGGAAGAAGCCTTGAGAGTCTGACAGACAAGTCACAGTTCTAAGGTTGAGCCTGCAGCAGAAGGTACCGGCCCCGGCGATGCCAGTGCCCGTACCCATGGGCCCCGCTGTGGCGAGTGGACGCCTCGGAGATGCGAGCGGATCAGCAAAACAAAAACACCCGGGGCCTTTCGCAGAGCCGCCTCGAAGGTGTTGCCACACCTTCGAAGGTTTGGTTCTGTGCCCTTCCAAGACTGCTCTCTTTCTCTCTGTGCGACACGGTTCCGGGCAGAACGGGACAGAACCTATCTTTTCTAAGGTGCTCCGGGCTCTCCGCCCTTGGGCACCGTCACCGTGGGGCCGGGCTCGGTCGGCTCGGTTCTGCGCTGATGACAATTCGCCTTTCAAATGGCCAAAGTGCGTCTTGCATGCCTTTCTTTGATGCCCGGATCCCCGCGAAGCATCGAGGACGCGTTTCACCACATAACAGCTCGGAGGTCGAGGCATAGCCCACCGACAATTACGCGTGTCCGGCCGAAGCGAATCCTCTGAGCGCAGATTCTGCTTTGAGATTCTGGCTCGAGGGCCCACCCCAGCCTCGGGTAGCGAGGTCCTCGCCAGTTGCGCGAGATGGTACTTCGCTTGG